TTAGAAATTTCACCACCGGCTCTCACATCTGGTTAAATTCACAGAAAAAACTTCTTTATGGAAGGAAATGATTTTAGCACCTTTAAATGTTTTCCTTTGCCCTCCATTCATTTTCTGAAGCCCCATTCACACATACCGTGACACCTGTGGATGATCCCACTTACCCACAAAAATCAAAGGTTGCTAGGGAAAAATGTGCATTCTGCAACGGGTTGGCAAGTGTTTCCCAGCAGCTGCTAAGTTTAACTGGCTGCAAAGAGGTCTACAGTACAGTGTACTTGCAATTACTTTGGTTGTTAGCAGGTTGCTATGGTTGCCTTCAGTTAGCGTGGATAAAAGCGGTTTGTCGGGAAACACTCGACAACCGCTTGCCCAGAGGCAGTGAAACTGTGAAAAGTGCAACGCAAACTACAAACAGATAGTCACCTTCCAAAGTAAAAGCTGCACCTTTTGAAATACACAGCTTTTACTTTGAAGGTGAATGGTCTCCAAACAACAAGAGGCCACGGCAATCTGCTGACGACCAAAGCAATCACAGGGAGGTTTTTAATGCAAATAATTTTATAGTCGGCCAGCAACTAGTCACCAACCAGTCGAGTAACACACATTTTCACCAGTGCCGGAGGTTCCTAAGAGATTTCCAGGCATGTTTAACTAAGCCCATAACAGCTTATCCAACTAAGAGTGGTGACAGTTTGCCAGTCTATCACAGGGCTAACACAGAGCAAAGGATAACCACACACTCTCACATCCACATCTACACGTATGAGTTACACCTCACAGCAGGTAGGTTCCTGGGTTCAAACCTCTGGGTCTGCTGTGATGTTCTTAAAGTTTCCTTGTGCCTACAGGGGTTTCCTCCCACAGCCCAAAGACACGCACTTTAGATTGGGTTGTTCAGAAGCAGTTACTTAAATATGAAGAAGGGTTGCAACTGATTACTGTATCAGTTATTTTACCCATGAATCATTCAGTTGGAAAAGATGAATTTGTTCAGTGAAATATCAAAGCATGACTGAGTGACTGACTGAGGGACTGGTGCGTCACAAAAACCAAATCATCAAATCACAGCGTAAAAACTTAATCACAACATTATTAATGGATAAACAACTTAAAGTAGCATTTCAGTTTCTAACAAACTGTGCACTGAAAATCTGAAGGACGACTCTCTCTTTTTGTCTTTATATGTGAACTGCAAACAAAGCTTTAGCTGCTGAACTCTACATCTGATTAATATAAAAGCAATACAAAGCTGTAGTACTGCAGGGTTTCCAACAACGAATCATCAACTGTGATTGCATCTGCACATCTTTCAGGCTATCGCATTAAAATCTAAACTTGTGCTCACTTCTCAAACTAATTTAGCAATGTTAAGATATCATTAACCAGTAAATAAGCAACAAAGCACTTCCTGAGAATTCAAGATAATCGTTTGCTTGTTTCTAAAGCTGTCGAACTCTAGAAAGCATCAGCAAAGTGTATATGTAGGCCTACACATCTGAAACAAGAACAGGATGCCAACTAGGCGTTCAGTGTTCACTGGATACTCGAGGTGAATATTTGTTTGATCCAAATTTAATTTACATACTCCATATTTATAGAAGTTTCAATGTGCGGTACAAGCACAGGTCAACTTTTGACCGTGCTTGTTCTTCTGCGTTGTAATTCATACCAACATTTCGATCTGTTCACGTGATCACTTTTACCAAGAACCACCCTGAACAGGAAGAACAGGGTCCCCAAAGACCACACGGCGGGGCTGAAGATGTGCTGTGCTGCTGCTCTGCATGGCAGCGGACTTTCTGAGCACGAGTAAAATTAAAGGTGGGAGGGGCTGATACACAAGCTGCTCTTCAGCCTTTTTGAATGGCAGCAGTTGATTTGGCTAGATAAGGATCACGTGATTTTGACAGGATGTGTTTTTTCTGTGGTGTTTGAGCTTACTTTAACCTTTTCTGTTACCTTTAAGATCACTGTCATATCACACGGGCTAATTCATTCAGAAGCACCGTCTCATACTGCTGTGCTCCTCAGACGCACGCAGCATTATTTTTATTAGATTACAGCTGATTATACACTGCACAGACACATTTGTCATATTTGTGCACCGCAGGACACCTCAGGCATTTTGAAAGCTGTCCTTCCTTCCCGTCATCTTTATCAAACAGCTCTTATGCTTGAGCTGAATTCCTGAGACTAACGGTGCTCTGACATGATGTTTTTTCATCTCAATTATGCAGTGGTTACATCAAATTTAAAATTACTTATAAGTTTTATAAATTAAGCTGGCTTCAACTCAAGCGCTTAAAACTACTCTGACCTGGATCAATGAGAACCTGCCAAGTCAAATTTATTAAATGACTTATTTTTCTTTCACTCATAAATAAAGACATCTCTGTATGTGTGTGTGTTAATGTGTCTGTTAGGGCTGGGCCATATCATACCGTTCACGGTAATACGCGATATGGGTACGGAGCCTACGGAGCATTACGGCTACCGTAGGCAGGAGCCTCGCGGAGTAATACGTACGGTGCTTCAACATAATATTACCGTATTGCGTGTGTGTATAACCTCTTTCTAAGTTTTGTGGATGTTATACATGGTTATGCTGAGGATACGTCGGCCAATTTCCACTGAAAATGCCTTTTGGTTAAACTGTCAGCAAGGAATTTGCATTTGCACTGTTACATTTTTATATAACTTTAATGCAAAAAACAGCTGCTTGTTTAAGTGAAAATACATTGATGGGGTTTTTTTGCACTAATAAAACTGAGGAGTTGTAAAGTATTTTGTCTAGTGTCAATTATATCGTCAGTTATATCGTTATCGCAAATTTTCAAATCTGTATCGTGATAAATATTTTTGGTCATATCGCCCTGCTCTTCACCTCCCTCTAGAAATGGACTGGCTTTTTAAACCATCATGCACACACTCACACTCCAATGGATGCATCAGATTAAACTTTGGGGGTTCAGTACCTTAAATAGCATCCACAGAACCACCGACCTTTTAATTAGTGGATGCTCTACCTTCTGAGGCACAGCTACATCCAAACTTACAACACCTAGTCCTGTCCAAATATCAACCGAGCTCAACCCCCACTTAGCTTCCAAGATCAGACAGGAACCATTTGGTACTCATTGGTTGTATTTCTGAGGTCAGCGCATTGTCAAATTTGAGCTCATCTCAGTGAGAACCCATCACGTTTTGGCTAAAATCTGATGAGCTGGGATGACCACATGAATGTTTACATTGTCATTTCTGTGAGTGGATTTACTGACATAATGCATTCCCATTACCGGCCTAAACCTTATTCTAACCTCACCGCTAAACCAATCCTCTGACGAGGAGGTGTAAACACACCTCTAAAACCTCCTCACTAGAGTAGTCTAAATTAAATTCAAACAAAATAGTAATGCAATACTTGGCTATGGTTTATGTTTATTGTGCTCTTTCGGTTTCTTGGAGGGCGTCAGGTTAAGCGACGACAAATTCAGTCACTCTCTTGTTGTGTGGCAACCCACAAATGACACGCTCAGCGAGCGCATTCTTACATCTGTCCTCGTTTCAAAGAGCATCACTCTGTGCACGTCTTCATGTGAGGACATCTGACAGCTGCAGTTAGAGAAATAACCCGGACCTCATTCTTTGTAACCCAGTGGGGGTTTTCTCCTTTTATTTTTGAACACCAGTAAAAGCAGTTTGGTTTGACATTAGAGAAGCTGGACAGATGAACTGTGCTGATTTTTTGTTTACTTTTTTTAAAGTGGTTTAAGTACATTTTATTTTACAGCCCAAGTAACAGCTGAGGAAAAAATAAACACTTACTCGAGTTATTGCTAAATTTGGCATTAACTTACAGAGCACAGCTCTGGTCTGCATGCACACAAGTGCTGACTGGATAGTTTGTCTGACTGGTTAGCTACTTTTCATATCTTTGATGTTTACTTTCCTCTCAGTCAGAGGCATAAAAGGCTTTCTATATGATTAAGAGTGCTCTGTTTTCACTAAGCTGGTTGAAACTTGCAATAAAACCTTATCTGACAGCAGCTCTACCTGAGAAAGGCTGCAGACAGTCTGTGCTCTCCACATTTTGTGTGTCATCAACTCAGGCTAATTAACCGCACACCAGTCCGTAGTCCAGGCGCCCGTGTGCGCTCACTCACCCACATAAAGCGTTAATTTTTTCTACCTCCGGTGCATTTCCTGTATCAGCAGCAGAGCAGTTGAGGAGGGGACTTCAACTTTTTCGCTATTACACAAGAGGCTAACGTGGAAACTCTGGCTGCCTCGTCCTGAGCCGCACATGGATGATCATGACCGAGGCTAAATGACTTGAGGTGGATGTCTGAGAAGGATGGTGAAGAAGAGGAAGTGATACAGAGCGACAACAATCGCCACAGCTGAGCAGCATGCATGTGATTTAGGGGTGTCACCGTGCTGCTGCAAGGGCCTGTTTGTGAAACTGCTTTGTGCAGAGGTCCATGTCTAGACACCCACCAACCCACCCACCAGCACCTTGAGTAGCCACCCACCCGCAGCCACACATCACCATCCACCCCCACATGCACAGACACACGCCCACCACCATTTTACAGCTCCAATCAGATGTAAACAGCATGATCTATCTAACTTCCTGGTCTGTCTCCCTGCCATCTCTCCTCGGTCAAAACCAGACATCTCAGCTTTCAGTGCTCCGCCGACTCTTCTACTCTTACATCTCACACTGTCTCCTCAGCTCGAGCCTCTTCGGGGAGCTTTCGCACTCTCATTTATCACTGCTGGCAAGCACCTGCTTTGAGTTTGACACCTGCCTGCCAACACCAACCCGCCATCAACAAAAGAGTCAACAGGTCACCGTTAACAGTGTGCAGACCTGAGGCCCCCGAATATAAGAAACAAACACACACACAGCAACACTCCTTCAGACAGTGAACATCCGTCCACACACCCACAGCCATATGCAGCAGAGGGATTTGTGAATGAGCCGCTGCTCTTACCTTGGCACTGGAATCCCTGCTTCCCAAAGCCCCTGTGGACAGAAAGACAGGGCTGTGAGATTTGGGGAATTCACAAGATATGCATTGGCAGTGACGCGCACGCGCACACACATATCCAATCACACATGATCTCGCGCGCGCGCACACACACACATCAGCGGGGCCCTGTGTCTTCAGCAGCATTCCTCCAGTGTCAGAGATGGGTGTCCGGGACGATGCGGTAAAAACACCCAGCAGCAGCAACTGCTCTGCGGCTGCCGACACGCCATCTCTCCCCGACAGGCCCGCGGTGTTGTCGCATTGTGGAGAATTGTGGAGGGGGGTGGGGGGTGTATGGCGCACCGCGTTGTTTTTCATGACAATGAAAGAAACACTGCGGTGTCAGTGTGGACGAAGGCCGATTGAGCCGCAGCAGCAAGTGAATCACCTGTGTCCTTTCCCCTCACACACGCCCGCGCGCACACTCACCAGATGAAGTCCGTGCAGTGGCTGCAGAAGGTTGGCTGCTTGAAGAAGCGCGCGATGAACTTGTGGTTCTTCACCTCGTGCACATTCTTCTGACGGAGGGCTCCCTGACGGGCAAAGCCGCGCGCGCTCTCCGGCACCTCTCCTTCGCTGTTGGGGTCAGCCATCTTAACGAGGAAGCGGCGGCGGTCCGAGAGGAGGAACGAGGGGTGAGGAGAGGGGAGAGAGAGACGCGACGGAGGCGGCGGGGGAGGACGAGTCGCGGTACAGGTGCCGCCTCCTTCTCCTCTTCGCCCCGCTGGCCGCCGCGGTGTCGCTCGTGCTGCCGGTGTTTTTGTCGGTCTGCGTCCAGCTCGCGCTCAAGCTGCTGCAGCTGCTTCTTCCGGCGGGTCCCCGTGCCGCGCGCCTGCTTCCCTCTTCTCACCGATGTGCCGCTGCTTACAACTCTCTCTCTCTCTCTCTCTTCCTCCCTCTCTGTATTTGTGCGTTGACGTGTTGTTTGTGTGGCACACCTCTGAAGCGATCTCTCTCCGTCTATGGCACAACGAGCCCTGCGTTCTTTCACTGTGATGTGACTTCTGGAGACACACGCATCCAAACCAGTCTGAGACGCCAGTTAACAGAAACCAGTGATTGCCCACGAACCCGTGAGTCAGAGGCCCCTGAAGCTCCGATTTCAGAGAGTCCCTCATTATTAGCCAACCTGGTGACCCCGTTTTCTAAAAAAAAAAATAAAAATCTACCTTTAGTCATAGACTCTTATTTCAAACATATAGAGAGCATTAGAATTTCAAGTTGAACTCGTGCCTCTGTGTCTGAATGAAAACTTACATTTTAAAATATTTTATTGATTATATACCTCTCACTTATTCTGTAAAGTGTAATTAGATGTGTCTGTTGGCATCAGTGTTTTCAGCATTATTAATGTACCTTTTCAGAGTCAGTGTGGACTTTGATAATCAGCACCTATTTGTCAATATGTATGTAGACAGAGAATATGGATTCTGGAAGTGAAAAATGTGCTGTTCCTCTAATCATGTAAAGACTCCTACAGTGCAAAGTGGAAACCAGGCGGCGGTACAGTGCAGACAGGTAAGCCATACTGTTGTCTCTAGATTACAGACAGGCCCACAGTTTGCTTTCTTTTCCTTTTAGTCTTATCAGATACAGTAAAGCTACTACATAGTCAGAAGCATGAACATTACAAATTGAGTACACAGGACTTTGTGCATTTCTGTGGAGAAACTAAATCAGCAGCTTGTAGAACCATCCTTAGCCTTTACCGTGTTGGTTCAGATCACTGAGGATGTGCAGGAATTTGTTTATGCACAGCTCTATTTCAATCAGGTTGAGGTGTGGACTTTGACTGGACCGTTGCAACACCTTCATTCTTTTCTTTTTCAGCCATTCTGGCATAGATTTTGCTGTTCTGTTTTGGGTCATTGCCCTGTTCAGTAATCCAGTGTGGACCAAGCTTTAGCTGATAAACAGAGCTGTTGGTCTCACATTTGCCCCTAGAGGAGTTCAGGGCCACCTTAATGACTTCAAGCTGCCCAGGTCCTGTGATTGCAAAACAAACCCAAATCATCACCACTCCTCCACCGTGCTCGACAGTTGGTATGATATCCGCCTGTGCTGATATGCCGTGTTTTGCTTTTATCAAACATGGCTTCATGCATTATGGTCAACATCTCCACTTTAGTTTCATATGCTCAAAGGACATTGTTCCACAAGTGTTGTAGTTTGCTCAAGTACAAATTTCTAATCCTAAACCACGCTCCATGTTCTTTTTAGAGAGAAGAGGCTTTCTCCTGGCAACCCTTCCAAACAAGTCATACCTGTTTAGTGTAAATTTAAATGTGCTGTCATGAACTTCACCATTTAACACACTAACTGAGGCCTGAGTTTGAGATGTAGCTCTCCGTGCAACATTCAGTGAAACTGCAAAAAATCTATGTGAACTCTGAGATTGTTGCTTCTTGATAACACACACCCAAATGCTCTGGACCAGCAAACTTCCCAAATGTGTGCCTGTAGAGATGCTCACACTTCCAAATCAGATTTTTTTTTCATAACTGTATTTTAGGTTATATGCAGTGTTGGTCAAGTTACTTGAAAAAAGTAATCAGTAACTAATTACTGATTACTTCCCCAAAAAAGTAATCCCGTTACTTTACTGATTACTTATTTTCAAAAGTAATTAATTACTTAGTTACTTAGTTACTTTTTAAAAACACGATTTACAACCTGAATAGGTGATAAAGCGATAGATCTTTCAGCCCAATTCTACTTTTTCTACGTAATCCATCATACAAAATGTAATCAAATGGAAAAGTCTCTTTTTTAAACTTGTTTTATCAGTTTTAATCTTTTGACTTTATGCATCAAGCAAGCATTTAATTATATGCAACATTCTCTGACTGGAAGAAATTAGTTTAACATTTAAACCTATTTTCTGCACATTCCAGCACATAAAATAAAATATTTTTTGTGTTTACACTCACTCTTTCAAATAGATGCAAGTAAAACACAGCAGGAAATAAATAAAGTCAAAGACTCAGCGGTCCTGTTGCTCTATTTTCACCTGTAAAGCAGGACTGGGGTAGGTGGAGGTTTACCCTGGTGCAGGTGTGCCGCAGCGGTCAGTGGAAGAATCCGCGAGTTTCTCTGTGAGTTTCCCATTACGTCGTTGTGCACTCGGTGCTTGTTTAGGGTTTGTTTTTTTTCGCTGTAAAAAGAAGTTTTCTTCCCACGCACGATGGACGCTAATGTTTTTGTCACTTTTTATGGAATCAAACTTAAAGTAAGGTCAGTACTTCCACGCTTTAAACGCTGCACACTCATACTCTCTCCTGCACTCGATATATGATCCATTGTTGATCTGCACACAGCTGTTATCACTAACGTTGCACTCGCTTACGTCACTGTCGTGAGACATTCTCGCAAAAAATCACGGTTTTAGTAACGCAGTAACGCAGCGTTCCTACAGGAAAGTAACGGCAATCTAATTACCGTTTTTGCGATAGTAATTCCTTACTTTACTCGTTACTTGAAAAAAGTAATCGGATTACAGTAACACATTACTGCCCATCTCTGGTTATATGTATCTGGCAATCTTCTTGTAGAGGAAGCCAGTCAAAATTAATTTTTCAGACATTTTTAGTTTGTGTTTGTTTATTAACAAAACTGCTTTTATTGTCAATTTACATTTTTTATATGGCGCTACTAATAATAACAATAATAACGATGTTATTAGAATTGCTATTGTTGTTAATTATAATTATTATTAATTACAATTCTTTTGATTATCAGGGAGGAAACATTGCAAACCATCGCATTTGTAAAACTACCGTTGATTGTTTCAGTATTTTTACATTCAAAATAGCTTAAAAGAATTAATCACATATTAGTTTTCTGTCAAGTGACTCACTGATTAATCAAACAATCATTTCAGTGTTAGAGTGCTCATTGGTTCCTCGAGAAATAAACACACTGACAAGTACAAAGCAGGTCAAGTATGTACAGTATGCATTTAATCTGACGTTTCAGCAGGTTGAGCAGCCGAGGCAAACACAGCCTGTTGCTCCAGGCATCGTTTTTTAAAACTGACAGGCTGTGGTAAAGTCTTGCTTAAGCTTCCGGTGCAGGCTACTGATATGAGGTTGGGATCACGAAGGAAGATAAATGTATTAATACACCCAAATCTCACAAGACTGCATTTTTTTTCTGTCCCTGGGAGTTTGCAAGTCGGTTATTTTTGTTAGAGAATTGTAATTGCTTGAATTGAACATCAGTTAAGACACGTCAGCTTAGCTCTACATTAATGTTGTCCTGTTATATTTTTAAATGGCAGTTGGGCGGCGAGGTTTTTTCAGTGTAAAACCAGGAGAATTCAGAGCTGTATCGGGAGGATTGACCAAAAATGTTTTGTTTTTCTCGTTGTCTTGTTAAACACTAATTAAACCTCTTCAAACCTTTATTGGATCGGGCTTTCCGGTTATCTGACCAAATACAGAAGTGTCGCCTTCGTGTCCGAATGAGCACCTTAAACACTTTTACGGTAAAGCTACCACGGGTGGGGCCTTTGCAATATTTGAATATAACTTTCCACTTACAACAAGTCAGGATGCATTCCATCAGATTAATAAAAACTAACACATGAAATTACAGCATGCAGACCTACCTCTCGTAAATCTTGAGTCTCTAAAAGACTGTTAGGGAGAACAGCCTCACTGGGGTTAGTCAAAAACTGACTGTTACACTGTGATCTCTGACACAGTTATATATTTTAAACAGGCTTTTTTCTGCACACACAACGACCTGAATATGACAAAACATCATGGGAATAGTTGGTTGCTGGAGGTGCACACAGCAGTCTCCACCATTCATATTTTCCTTATAATATAATATTAATAATTATAATAATAATAATAATTTTATCCATAGGCACCTTTCAGACCCACCTTACAATAACACAAGAACAATAGCAGCAATAAAATATAATAAACATGGCAAAATAAAATTTAGACATGAGGTAAAAAACCAAAAAAACCTTTGACTTCTAATTTTACTTCTATTCAAGACATGAAATGTTACTAGAATACAATGTTTTGTGTTGAAGACAGAGCCTTTAATAGATCAGATTAATAACGCTCATCAGTAATGCTCATAATATTAGTAGTGATAACTGCATGTCAAAATGACCCAAAGTTATTTAGTTGCTTCCAGCTGATCATAGAAGTCTTTCTTCTGGGATTATTACATATCTACAGCACCAGAATCCATACACTAACATTTCCAAAGAGAGAGAGATGATCTTGCTTTAAATGTGGCTACTGCAACATAAACATTTAAAAATAACTAAAAAGAAACTGAGAAGAAACTGTCCTCAACACAAAAACAGGATCGATCAGGCTCTAACAGCCAGATAATGTTCTATACTTCACTCTGTGCAGCTGTTAGAGTGACAAAGGTTATCTGATCGGTTGATTAAAATGTACTAAAATGTGTATGGGTGTTCGTCTATATAACTACGAATGGCCACTTCATTAGGTACATCTGTTCATCTGCTCATTAACACAAATATCTAGTCAGCCAATCACGTGGTAGCAAATGTGCTTTTAAGTATGTATACAAAGCGAAGATGACCTGCTTGAAGTACAAACTGAGCATCTGATTGGGGGACAAAGGGGATTTAAGTGACTTTGAATGTGGCGTGGTTGTTGGTGCCAGACAGGCTGGTCTGAATATCTCAGAAAGTGCTGATCTACTGAGTTTTTCAGCCCATAACCATCTCTAGGATTTACAGATAATGGTCTGGAAAAGAGAAAATATCTTGTGAGCTGCAGCTCTCTGGGTGAAAATGCCTTGTGGCAGTCAGAGATTCCAGACTGCTGAAAGGTAAGAGGAAGGCAACAGTAACTCTACCACTGTTACAGCCAAGGTATGCAATAGAGCACCTCTGAATGCACAACATGCCCATCCCTGAAGCAGATGGGCTATAGCAGCAGAAGGCCACACTGGGTCCCACTTTGCCCTCATCAGTCTTGATTTCTGCTGCAACACTGAGATGACAACACGAAAGCATGGATGCATCCTGCCTTGCATCAGTGTTTCAGGTGGTGT